CGCCGCTCCCCCCCCCCCGTTATATTACCATCCTTGGGGGGGGGGTAGGGCCCTAGGTGGGCAGGAAGAAACATCTCAAAATATAACATTTATCATGGAATGCCTACCGTGGGATGTTTGGTTTGTGGATATGGTTGTCCTCTCTGAGATTCCGGAACGGTATGGATGATGTAGTCTGAGCACTTTAATGTTTGAATGGGTTTTAAATTGTATATTATGTTTTTAAATGTACTAAATTATTTGATGTTTTATTAGCAAATTCTCTTGCCATGTAAGCCGCCCTGAGCCCTTCGGGGGAGGGCGGGGTACAAATTTAATAATAAATAAATAAAATAAATAAATAAATAAAATAAGCTGAGTTAGTGTGAGCTGGCTCACAGTTTTTTAGCCTCCGGCTCAGACATTTTGGTCTTAGCTCAGGAAGGATGGCTCCAGAGCAAACTAATTGATGCAGTAGCCAAATCGCTCGCTCCCAACTTTAATACCAGTAGCTCACAAAGTAGAATTTTTGCTCACAAGACCACAGCTTAGAGGGACCATTGGTTACAGGTAATTCCTGACAGATCCATTTATTGAGGGAGGGGGCTGTCCCCTATGTTATTCTCCCAGATGTCTGTATATAGGTACTCTGCCTTGCTAATATATAGAGTAATCTTGCATATAAGCTGATGGGTATTTAATTGTAATCTTGCTAATATGAGTCTTTGTGATTATATATATATATGCTTTAAGAAGACTTAGTTGCTTATATACTTTTCTTCCCTTTGTTGCAGGTTTTGACTGTTTCTTCTGTGGCATCTGTGTGGAAAGTGCCACACACACTCCAGAACAACAACGGCTTTTGCTTGTATCTTCCAGTGTTTCTTTTGTCAGCGAGTTCAGCAAAGTTGTAATTCAAGTGCCAGCCCTGATCAGAGTGAGGAACCAGCAACAGAGATGGTAAAAATGACAAAATCCAAAACGTTCCAGGCTTACCTGCCAAACTGTCATCGAACTTACAGTTGTATCCACTGCAGAGCCCATCTAGCCAATCATGATGAACTGATTTCCAAGGCAAGTGATCTTAGGCCCCCATGATCACGTGGTCTGATACCCATTTATAATCTGTTCTAGTTGTCTTAAGAAACTGAAATGGTTTACCAAGGCCAGTGTGTTATGAGAGTTCTACAAGAAATGCAGTTGACTGCATTTATTTATATCCCTCTTTTCTCCCCAGTGGGGACCAGAAGCACTGACCGTTGTTCTCCTCCATTTTTTCACAACAATTGCCTTGTGAGATAGGTTAGGCTGAGAGAATGTGGCTGTCTCGAGGTCACCCAGCAAGCTTGCATGATAAGAGTGGGGAATTGAATCCTAGTCCAACACTCTTAACTGCTGTGCCATGCCACTTAACAATTTGTTAGGTGTTTCCAGGCTGCGTCTTTTCTGTTAAAGAGACTAGATGCTTCTCTGTAAGGTATGTTTGGCCTTTGTTATGATTTGTTTATGAGAAATAATGCTGTTCAGGTGGAGTATGGTTGTAAGGGTTGAAGTCACTGCAGGTTATACGACTAATTTGTTTCTGGCCTTGTAGAGAACTTTGCAAAAATTGGTAGCCTGCATCTTCTAGAAATGCACATTAATACAGATGTCAGCTAGCCTGTTCCAGAAGCACACATTTGAATAGTTTTTTGTTCCATTCTTTATGCTCTTCCCTTTTATCTACTTGTTTAAATGATTTTAGATAGTGACACTAAATTGAGCCTTGTAGACATGACAACACCCCCCGCCCCAGGTAAAGGCTTGAGGAGAGGTTTTGTTTTGCCCCTGACATATGAAGGTATTTTCCTGCATAGTCTCTTTAACCATGAGAACAAAAAAATGTTCATATACAATCCAGGATTTCCTACACAGAAGTGGAGTCTACAGTCCATGTTTAGAGAAGATGCTTTTGATGATAGTTGTTAAATTAGTAACCCATGTTGCTGTATTACTGGTTCACACTATGGATTTTAAACTTACTGAACACAGATATTCTAGAGGAAGGCTAGAAATGTTCCTTATTTCCTTATTATCAGGCTGATGTCTCTTCGTCCTGCGCCAGTTAGAAAGGCCTCTTGAAACCAGATATGTTCTGTAAACTATCCTCAAATTTTGTAACCCCTTTTTGTTCCCAAAGTAGTATTGTTTCATTCTCAGGTGAAAGAGTTCATATTTTGAATAAACAATCTACCAAACATGAAAAAGTGTCCAACATCTACTTTCTTGAATTGTTACAAGTTTAGTACACTGGGTGATCCCCTGACACATACATTTTGAGATACTGGGTTATGTAAATGCAAAGAAGTGTGGTAATTAAATACTGGGTTTAACTAGGCTAATTAGTATAGCTTAGGTAGTGATAGTTTTCAACTGTAAGTATAAGTATGTCATTTTCTAGTTTTCCTGGTTTGGAATGTTCACGAGTCAGTGATGTAATGAGGGTTGAACGTATAACAGTAATTTAAAGGTGTAAAGCATTGAGTGTCTGTCTCAAAACAAGCACTGCCAGAGTAAGAAGTTGAGTCACAGTTCTTTAAAATAAATCCAGGCACTTCCATGTTGGCAAGTTCCACACAGGGATATGTGAATCACTTGTAGTATTTAAAATATGGGAGGTCAGATTTCTAGTATGTGTGGTAACCCACCCACTCAAGTTCTCATCCCAAATTCAAATTTCTCCCAGCTGTGCATGCATCTGAGGCAGCAGATTTCTTAAACATTTCATGACCAACTTTTAAATAGCAGTAATATACTGGTTAAGCTTTAGAGAAGAGAGCTTTAATACCGTATGTTCAATTACACATGCCCCATTTCACTGGAAACAATATCACAGTTGCATGAAAATTAGTTAGAGAGGAGTTGTGGCTGCCTGAGAATCTGGAGTTCAGTCTTAATTTGTGGTGGTTCTTTCCACCCCCACCCCAAATATTTTTCCAGTATGAGTGGCGTGCCAGGCCTACATTTCACAGCATCTTTCGGTACATGTGCTGTTTGGATTGGTTATTTTGAGGTGGGATTTGCAGGGCAACACTGTTTTACATCTCTGTGTAATAGGATGTAAGAAATGTTTAAACCTAAACAATGGAATGGTGCAAAGCAAAGATGTTATTAAAGGAATTTTTTAAAAAGCTATGAAACAAAAGTTAAGTTGCAAGTCTATCCGTCCAGTCTTTTTCACCACTACATATGTCCATACAAAGCTGCTTTCACTGTATCATGCCGTTGGTCCATCAAAGTCAGTGTTGTCTACACAGACTGGCAGTAGCTCTCCAGGGTCTCAGGTTGAGGTCTTTCACATCACCTGCTGCCTGGTCTTTTTCACTAAAATGCTAGAGATTTAACCTGTGACAGCTTGCATGCCAAACAGATGCTGTACCACTGAGCCCTGGGCTGTTCTCTGCTACTCATGAGTATTTTACCATATGGTAGGTTCTGGAGATGGGGCAATTGATGCTAAAAATCCCTGCTTGACTATGTGGGATAATATTGGCTAAGAATATATTGCTGTGTATTTTTGTGACAGTGTGTGGGAATTAAATCTAAACAAATCAAAATAAATCAATGTTGAAATCGAGCTGCTTTATGGACCATGCTGCATTCTGCACTCATTGCTAAATGCATATGTATTCCACTTTCTGTCTGAGGTCTCTGTCCCCCTTTGGCCTATTAGTCTGCTAGTACTAGTGATAAATTCATGAACATCTAAGTAATATATCTCCAGGGAGTCTAGAAATGTGCTCTGGTAAAATTGCACCACAGATTATGATGTGGTTTCTAGTATGTAATCAAGACCAAGGACAAAACCCCATCTTCTGCTGCGTATGTTTGTGTAGTGCTGATAACGTGCTGAGAAAGTGCAGGCCATACCAGTTCTGTTAGCTAAGGAGTAAGGTACAAGGAATAGAGAACAAGGCTGTGAGGGAAGGGAACAGGACCAGATTTGCTGGATCTAAATCTGTCAAGGTCAGCATTCTGTTTCCAGCAGCAGCTACCCAGAGGCCTTTGGATGCTTCACAAGCAGAACGTGATGGTTTGTGCCTGGTATCTGGTACTTAGAGGCACACAGTTTTTGCAGACACAGGTGGCATTCAGTTTGTTCAGTCCTCCCAAAGCTATGTAGGGTAGAAAGTTACCTTGTAGAAGTTAAACCTGCAACCTTGGCGTATCGGGCACTTAAACCAGTATGTTCTGCCTCCCAGAAGTCCAGCAAGCTCTCCATTATGCCACAGAGTTGTGGAAGAGCTGTGAAGCCTTTCCCTCTTCTTGGAGCATAAGCTTGTCTGGGAAGTGAACCCCAAGACTAAGAATGTGTCTGTAGGGGAGGGGCTTAATAGCTAGTTGGAAGACCCCCAAAGAAGAGGCTTCAATTGTAGTAGTTGTTGTCGTCAAGTCACAACTGATTTATGGCAACCCCCTAGGGTTTTCAAGGCAAGAGATGGTTTGCCGTTGCCTGCCTCTGCGTCATGACTTTGGTACTCCTTGGCAGTCTCCCATCCAAATACTAGCACTGGCCAGCCCTGCTTAACTTTCAAGATGCCCCCCTCTTGGATAGACCAGCACTTGATGCAGATAGTGCTGATCTAGAGAGACTTTTAATAGAGGAAAATCAGCAGATCTCCAGACAAATAGCAAAATTCTGCTTGCAACTGGTAACATTTCACAATAAGAAGCAGATCAAGTAGAATCCTCATTTACCTTTGCATGACTCAAGAAGTAGTTTAGTTTTAAACATCTTATAATTATTTTGATATAATGGACTGTTAAACTTTCTCCTTTTAACATTTTAATGATTTTAAGGTTATATGTTTATTTTTAGAGTTGAAAGCTAATTTGCTTGTATATAACGAACATGTAATATTTTGATAAATGGTCGTTGACCGCAAATAAAAATCATTCATTCAGCTTTCAAGATCTGATGAGATCCATTATATAGGAAATGGTCACTTCATTCACATATGGTCACTTCATTCACATATTCAGTAGGTGGGCAAATCATTTTTTTTTTCTCAGCCTCAATACATCAGCAATACAGGGATAAGAAGGGTGGCCTAATTTACAGGGTTGGTGTTAGGGACTGTATCTCAGTGGTTGGTAGAGCATCTGCTTTGCCCACAGCAGGGCCACTGAATAAGACCGTGAAGAGCTGTTGTTAATCTGAGTATGTAATATGGACCTTCACAGATCAGTAGCCTGGTCTGGTTCAGTATAACCAACAGTACAAGAGATCACGCAGTAAGACCAAATTAGCTACAAGAAAACTGCGTACAACAACCCTGAGTAAATTAATCAAAGTGAAAAGTATATTGTAAATGCATATACAAAGTGTACAACATAGGTAACAATTGAATTTACAAAGAATATATAGAAAAAATAATTTGTATATTGCTTCCATTCAACGAAGGTTCCGGATTACAGGCTTCTTCAAGAATATCAAACTAATACACAAGGAAAAAATAGTGAACAATATTTTACATACTAATGTGCACAAAAATAAAAATAAGATTGGACACATAAATGAGAATACCTACATGTCATATGTCATAAAGTTCAATACAGTAAGGTTTCGTCAACCAATTTTCTAGGTTCTATTAGAGAAATAATGTATCAGAGAACAGCATTGTTAACGTAAATGAATGGAAAATAACAAGTGAAACTCACCAATGTAGAACGTTACAAAGTTTCAAAGGTCAGGCAACCAGTTACAGTTTACTGGAAAAGCCACTCTCTACCACTGCTAAGCTGGTGTTATCTCAAAGTGGGGAAGAACATGTTGGCCAATAAATTGAAAAAGTTGTCCCCATAGAGCACCAAAATTAAAGAGACGTGAATCAAGATCTTGTGTAAACAGCCTATTGTAAAGAGACGTCCCAACAGAACACCAAAAATTAAAGGGACATAAATGAAGATCTTTTGCAACACTCCATTACAAGCCCCACTTTAGGCAACACCAGCTTAGCAATGATAGAGAGTTCTTTAATATATTATTTTTCTAATAGAACCTAGAAAATTGGTTGAAGAAACCTTACTGTATT